ATCACACGGATATTTGTGTGTAGTTTTTACGTTCACTTATGTAGCTACAATATACCTTTATACCTTTTTGGAACGAAGTTCCTTACGGCAGGCTTGGAGGTGATAGGGATTTTGCTGCGCGACCGAACTGAAAAAATGTGATAGTAAACCGTAAGAAAAAGTCCGTGGAATAAAACCGTTAAATGAGACGTGCGCAGGCGCGACAGTCGTATACACAAGCGAGTAGTGTATATTTTGTGATTATTTCTTTTTCTATGTAATTTTATGTTGTCAAACAAAAATAAAGAGACATATTTTGTTATTTTAATTTTAATTGATAATTTGAATTACGATTTTTTTTTTTATTTTACGTAATTTATTATTTCCTAAAATACTGAATTTCCTAAATACTTTCCTGTACTTAAATAAAAACTAATCAGCAAGAGAAATATCAAGAAAACCTACATAAAATTGAGCACGTTTTTTTTTTTGCAAATTGTGTCGATTCTACATTAACCGAAGGAACTTCGTTCCTACTTGGTGTCCCACGACACCACATCTTTTTATTTATTTAAAAACACCTGTTTACACGTTATATAAGCGAATCCTTCAGAAGATAGTTTCATCATTTTGAAAAAAAACGAAATCGTATATGTAATAAAGGTATGTTTTTTTTTAGTAATACCATTCAAGACTAGATTGTGTTTCATCAAGTTTTGAATCACAACGGTGCTTTTTGTGCTTTTTTTTTCTTATCTAAGCTGATAGCCTTGAGAGGTTATATTATCGTAACCCTGGCACGAAGGTGAGCTCACGGGGCTCAAACCAGAAGGTGATGCTATCACTGGCCCTAGTAAGAGAGGCGCTTTGCAGAATATACCACCGAGTCAGAACGCGACCCTCTGAGAAGATCCGGCGAGAAACGCAGTGGGCTGTGTCTATGGGTTAGTTTACTCGCCGAACCCTTCGTCGCAAGGGACGGGTTCGACGAGAACGGTAACCAGTGCTTAAGATACCTAAAAGCACCGTTAGTGGATCAGGAGGATCCGAAATAACGCGTTTAGGGCGACGTCGACTGTTTACAATGGCTAAAGAATTGTCAGACACTAAGATAAATATGAATGTTTGTATGTTTGTGAGTTGTTAAACCAATCGTTTGACTGTAATGAAAGTTGGAACACTTGTGTTTGATATTTCAGGGTAACGCGCGTGTAAATTCAAGAAATCGATGTTCTTCATACAGTTAGCGTTAGTTGGTGTGAATCGGATTTCACTAGTATTAAGTAGTAAGTCACCGGATCTTCTCAGTGGGTCGCGTTTCCGATCCGGTGGTAGATTCTGCGAAGCACTGCTCTTGCTAAGGTCAGTCTTAGCAACTCTCCGCTTTGAGCCCCCTGAGCTCACCTACACACGTTAGGTTGAAGCTGAAATAGCCTCTCAAGGCTATCAGCATAGGGAGAAAAAAAAAAAAAAAAAAAAAATAACAAGTCCGAAAATGCTTTACTTCAAAATGATCGTGTAGCCAACACACTAGTATGTATTAAAAATTTAAAAGTCAAATTAAAAAAGTATAAAACTATCTTTAACCGAAGATGTTGAATAATTTTATTCAGCTCCGTTCCATTCAAGTGCATTTTGCGCTTTCGGCTACGAATATAAATAGCTAGATTATTTGGCAACTTTATAATGATTGCAAATGCAAATTATTACATCACCTATAGTTATAATTTTTTTTTGCTTAGATGGTTGGACGAGCTCACAGCCCACCTGGTGTTAAGTGGTTACTGGAGCCCATAGACATCCACAACGTAAATGCGCCACCCACCTTGAGATATAAGTTCTAAGGTCTCAAGTAAGTTACAACGGCTGCCCCACCCTTCAAACCGAAACGCATTACTGCTTCACGGCAGAAATAGGCAGGGTGGTGGTACCCACCAGCGCGGACTCACAAGAGGTCCTACCACCAGTAAAAATATTTATATTTATATATTTTATATTACATTCTATATTTTTGTGCGTCCATAGAACAACTTATGAAATTCAGGTAAGTAATTTCTAATGCTAAGCCCATGTGAGTTTAAGGGTAATGTATTTATTAATAGCGTTATATTGCTTTTATTGCGTTTTTAATGAGTTAAATTGCCGTTTTATTGTAATAGGTACTTTGAATTGACATACAACCTTCATGGTTTGAGATTTTTGAGTAAAACTTTTTTCAAATGGTTGGAATGGAAGTTTTTGTTTTAATTAATTTAATAATAATTGGAATGGATGTTTTAACATTCGATTACCGTCTTTCAGTTATTTTTTTTTATTCAGCCTCATACAGCACGAGAAACCGTTTTAACTCTACAGGAACTGCAATTAGAAACCATTCGTCACCCTCCGTATTCTCCAGACCTTGCTCCAACGGACTACCATATTTTCCGTGAATTGGACAGTTTTCTACGTGATAAAAAGTTTCCTTCCCAGGAGGCAGTACAAAATGCTTATAGCTAGCACAGTTTGTAGAATCTAGATCACCAGAGTTCTATCGCAAAGGCATAAACGACCTTCCCATTAGATAGCAGCAATGTATAGATAATAATGGTAAATATTTTGTGTAAGTAAATATGTTAAACTAGCTTTTGTCCGCGACTTCGTCCGCGTGTAATATTTACTTTGGCATAACGCAAAATTTTACCCGCCTCTTCATTTACGTAGAAAGTGAAAATATTTTTGAATAATAGAGAATGTTATGGAGCTATTTAAGGGTAGACGTCCCGAATGGTCCTATAACCATCAAGATCTGATGATGGGCTCCTGGAGAAATCTAGAAAAATCTATAATTGTCAAAGCCTATCTTGAAGTGATTTGGGTGTTTCAATGTTAAATAACGTAAATTTATCTAATTTAGAACAAATATGGTTAGCATAAAAAACGATATAGTGAGTCAACCTTTAAATATGCTGTCGTGGACTTTTTTTTTAAACTTTTAAAGGGGAACAATTTTGTTATACATCATTTTAGTGTAACTTTAAAGCTTTAACCGTTTCCGCAGCGCACGCAGCGGAACCTCTCAAAAGGGAAAAATACCCCGATATTGAAACATTCTTTATTGGTGCTCCGCTTGCATTTGTCTTAGCGTGATGTTATATAGCCATGCTATGTAGAGTATAGGCCATATTATAGCCTGTTATGTAGAATTTTCAAATCGGAACAGTAGTTCCTGAGATTAGCGCGTTCAAACAAACAAACTCTTCAGCTTTATAATCTATATATATATAAATAAAATTGGAGTGTCTGTTTGTAATATTGAAATAGCCTCTTTTTACTACATGTATATGAATATATACGGTACATACACCAAAATAACATTTTTTACAATTTTTTTCGTCTGTCTGTTTCTTCCGGCTAATCTCTGGAACGGCTGGACCGATTTTGACGGGACTTTCACTGATAGCTAGCTGATGATATAAGGAGTAACTTATGCTACTTTTTTTAGACTAGCTTCGCCCCGCGGCTTCACCCGCTGTACGACAATAACCACGAGTAACATCACGGGACTCAGCTATTTCAATAATAAAATTTAATGTTTCCGAAGCGAAGCGAGGGCAGATCGCTAGTATTAAATATAAGCATAGATGGAGAAAAAAAAACGCGAATTTAATTTTTTCAGTACAAATCGGCAATTTCATACTTTAATCTAATCTAATATTTTTATCTATTTTGGCGAGTCGTAAATGCAATTAAAACCAATTTTTTTTTTAACTCGCCTCGCTCATTTGTCATTGTACCTACCCGTATGAGTCATCCGTGGCCACGAAACCCGTAAAATATTTCGAAGCGTCGGAAATAATTTAAAGACACTAAACAAAATACCGCGACATTTAATCGTGAATTAGTATCTAAAGCGTTGGTATTTTTTTATTGAACATTATTATTAATTGCCGCTTTAGATTTTGAAGTCGTCGTGGCCTAAAGGATAAGACGTCCGGTGCATTTGTATCGAGCGATGCAACGGTGTTCGAATCCCGCAGGCGGGTACCAATTTTTCTAATGAAATACGTACTTAACAAATGTTCACGATTGACTTCCACGGTGAAGGAATAGCATCGTGTAATAAAAATCAAACCCGCAAAATTATAATTTGCGTAATTACTGGTGGTAAGATCTCTTGTGAGTCCGCACGGGTAGGTACCACCCCACCTATTTCTGCCGTAAAGCAGTAATGCGTTTGTACGTTGTAGATGTCTATGGGCTCCAGTAACCACTTAACACCAGGTGGGTTGTGAGTTCGTCTACTCATCTAAGCAATAACAAAAATAGGTTTTAACAGTTCATTTTGAACATTTTCTGTCGATCTGGTTATTATTATACTTCACTAATTTTTATTAGACATTCGATGGAACTGCCACATTATACACTTAAAACGTATTAGTTAAATAATTGTTAAACCAAATAAATTTTTATGGAAAAAAACTGATCATACAAAACCTATTTATTTGATAACAACACACACCAAAAATTTATAATAACTATGCAATACATCCCAATTTAATAACAAGCAGTCTTATCATTTAACCGATTATTTCTTGGTGACCTTGCGAGCAATGATTTCATTTTTATATTTATTGAATCCCGACACAAAAGTCCCATGTACATGCACATAGGCATTTGCCTATCGTAAAGGAATTAAGGTAGAAATTGTAGATTTCTTTCAACAGATTTAGCTGACGATGATTCATTAAAATACTTTCAAGCAGACCGGTCACCGTTCTCGTCGAACCCGTCGCTTGCGACGAAGGGCTCGACGAGTAAATTAACTCTCAGACACAGCCCACTGATTTTCTCGATGGATCTTCTCAGTGGGTCGCGTTTCCGATCTGGTGGTAGATTCTGCGAAGCACGGCTCTTGCTAGGGTTCGTGTTAGCATCGTCATCAGGTTTGAACCCCGTGAGCTCACCTACAAACGTTAGGGCGAAGCTGAAATAGCCTCTCAAGGCTATCAGCATAGGTAGGAAAAAAAAAAAAAACTTACTTCTGAATGTACAGCCCTCGGACACTTTGAGGCTGATATCATTGAACTCTATGTCCACTGGTTTTGGTGGTGGCAGGTTTATTTGCACGGTCCTTGTGTCCTGATTTTCCACTTTACTCGTTTTCTTCCCCAGGCCCTGTACTACTGCGATAGCTTTTGACATTTTCAAACCTTTTTTAACGGCGCAGCGTTCTATTTTAAAATGTTTATCACTCAAAATTTCACATAAACTATCTCTTGTTGTGTCCGTCAGAATTTCACTTGAACATCGTGTAGTAAGTAACAAAGATATAGTTTCTTAGCTGCTTATTTCCTTTTTGGAAGCACGGTAATTTCTTTTAAACGTTTTTCATAATTTCTCCGCGCGGTCTAGCACAGATGTTGCCTTATTATTAAAAACGTAACGAATATCCAAGTGCTTGCGTATCATGTGCGAATAGCTCGGTGTTCGTACATGGAATGCCAGTTATGTTAAACCATATTATTATCGTGAAGACAACGCGTGCGATTGTGTGAATTAAAAAGTATACAGTGCGATAAGTTCTTTCGAAATTTGAGTTAGTTTAATGAAATTACAGGTTTGGTTCATAACTGCATTTCTTGGTAAAAAGCGAAACGTTAATGTGCCTATTAAAAATGTGTTAGCGACTTCGGGTAATAGATAAGAAAAGCACGACACCTGAAATTTGTCACGTATAACTAAATAGGCAAAGAGTTTTTTCTTTGCCCATTTAGTATAGATTAAATATATATTTCTCTTCTGTTTATCAGTCGATATTCTTTTCTTTTTTCAGCGAATTGCTTAGAGAACTGATTTGCTTTAGTTACCAATAAAAACTATTATGAAATGATCCGTACTTTTAAACAAATATATGCCAATAACTAAACGTAAGACAAAAAAATTCTAAATCTGGATGCTTTAATGATTATGTTTTAATTTCGATCATAAGGCGTGTACTCATGTTTCTATATTAAAAAAAGTTCGTGTACAATATAAAAAGTCGTCATGACCACGTGAAGACTGTCAATTAATCGAAGCGTCAAAAATATTAAGCTGACAATAAAAAAAACAGGAGATTAATCCGTAAATGTGGTTTTATTTATATTATGGAAAGTTCGTTCAGAAAACCACAGAAATGTTTATGAGTTCCATCCGTTATCGTGGCACTATATTTTTTTTATTTTTATTGCTTAGATGTGTGGACGAGCTCACAGCCCACCTGGTGTTAAGTGGTTACTGGAGCCCATAGACATCTACAACGTAAATGCGCCACACACCTTGAGATATAGTTCTAAGGTCTCAGTATAGACACAACGGCTCTCCCACCCTTCAAACCGAAACGCATTACTGCTTCACGGCAGAAATAGGCGGGGCGGTGGTACCTACCCGTGCGGACTCACAAGAGGTCCTACCACCAGTAATTACGCAAATTATAATTTTGCGGGTTTGATTTTATTCATATGAGCTCCATGCAGGTTGTATTTAATTGCTTTGTCCCGCACTGAATTGAATTAACATTATGTAGCTGGATACAATTAGCAAAGATTATCGTTAAGGGACCTTGAATATAATACAAAACTGAACAATCCAGTTTCTAAATCTGGTTTGAATTAACTTTTGTCGCTTAGCCCTAAAGCTTTTGCGATACGTTTTAAATGATTTCTGTATTTGGCTATCTCACAACGGGGATCGGAAATCTGAAAGTCGCGCGACTGCTGAAGAGGATTATGCAGGATCGACTGTCGTGACGAGGCTTGGGGAGGATATGTCCAGTCGACCACTCTGGGCTGATATATGGACTGATGTATATGTTGTGTTAGATGTGTATGTATTATATTGTGGGCTGATACATTACAGGATTTGAGGTAATCGTTCCAGACGTAAAAAAGGGACGCAATCTATATATATAATATAAATGAATTGCTGTTCGTTAGTCTCGCTAAAACTCGAGAACGGCGGGGCCGATTTGGCTAATTTTGATCTTGAATTATTCGTGGAAGTCCAGGGAAGGTTTAAAAGGTATAAAAATATGAAATTTCTCGGAATAAAATAAAAATAAAAATTTTGTTTTTCCTTTGATGTGTCCCCCGTCGGACGGATTCCTTTTATTACTCGATTGAGGTACTACGAAGTCTGCCGGGTCAGCTAGTATTATTATAATTATTACGGTATGTACGCTAGTTTTATGCTGGCATTCCAGTTCCAACTAGTTATACCTTCCAGTTTGAGATGTAGTACTGCTATCACACCGTTAAGACTAAGAGCCATGTCTCAGTGATACAGGCAAGCATGATGTTGTTTTGTTGTTATAGGCCGGTAAAGATGAAGATTGCGTAGAGCCTAGCTATTTTTCCCTCACCTACCAGTTATTCGTGCTTCAGATACAAGAGACAGACAGTTCGAAACTGGTGCCTCTGCTTTCGGTTCTTCTAATAGTCGCAACGTGAGGTCTGTGCCTTAATGACCTTTGTGAACGGTGGAGTGATGATCTGTGCAGGGTGGCTGGCAGGAACTGGATGAGACAAGCCGAGGATCGTGCTCAGTGGCGAACAATTGGAGAGGCCTATGTCCAGCAGTGGACTGCTATAGGCTGATTATGATGATGATGATGATGATGATGATGAACGGAGACTTTGTTCGTTTGGTTGAACACTGGTTATTAAAAGGAAGTACGAGTACCAAAAAGTTTTGATTTATAAACTATATATTATTATATATGGTAAGCTCTGAACTTTCCCAAAATAGAATAGGAAAAAAACGACTGTAGCTACAGTATCTTAATACTTATATCTATGCAAAAAGTTGAACTGTTGAACTGGACATTTCGTATTTTTCCTTTGATATTAGGTTTTTTTTTTATTGTTTAGATGTGTGGACTCATATACATCTACAACGTAAATGCGCCACCCACCTTGAGATATAAGTTCTAAGGTCTCAGTGTAGTTACAGCCCCACCCTTCAAACCGAAACGCATTACTGCTTCACGGCAGAAATAGGCAGGGTGGTGGTACCCACCCGTGCGGACTCACAAGAGGTCCTACCACCACTAAGAACGTAACTGAACAAGATAAACTTATTAAATTGCGTCCAAAAAAATTATTTTATCATTTTTGTTTTAGTTAAAAAATACGTTTCGTTTTTGGTCCGCGAACGGATAAAGGTTTGTATTTCGTTACGTGACGATTTACGCGGGTCGCGTTAAGAACTCCATCCAGCTTTCTGACCGCCGCCAGTTTGGTTTGAACGTAAAATTAACAAAAACGTTATGTTATCATTGTGACACAGCTGATTATACAATACACTGACGATAACGAAGTGGAAATAAACGAATAGTATAGTCACATACTTGAGGTAGACGAGACAAACAAAATTTAAGTTATTGTAAGACCTTCGAGTCTGTTTTTCTATCTCTGTCCCGCATCAGTTGAGTGACTACATAAGATGAGTGTCATGCTTACCATTACTCATGTATATCGAGTATATGAACTCGGAGTTCAAAGTCTTAATTACATTGTCAGTAATGAGAACTGGCATACATACTTACCGGACAACAAAAAAGTATTTTAAATTCCACATTTTGTCTACATTTAAATACAACTCTCATTTCAGCGCCGTGTCTACAGTCTATGGTGACCGATTAATTTTGGATAAGCCGTCAGCTCGGCTACTCGCTTAACTTTTAAGCTCTTCTAAAGCTAAGCTTCTCTCTTCTTTTGAAGTCGTCGTGGCCTAAAGGATAAGACGTCCGGTGCATTCGTATCGAGCAATGCACCGGTGTTCGAATCCCGCTGGCGGGTACCAATTTTTCTAATGAAATACGTACTCAACAAATGTTCACGATTCACTTCCACGGTGAAGAAATAACATCGTGCAATAAAAATCAAACCCGCAAAATTATAATTTGCGTAATTACTGGTGGTAGGACCTCTTGTGAGTCCGCACGGGTAGGTACCACCGTCCCGCCTATTTCTGCCGTGAAGCAGTAATGCGTTTCGGTTTGAAGGGTGGGGCAGCCGTTGTGACTATACTGAGACCTTAGAACTATATCTCAAGGTGTGTGGTGCATTTACGTTGTAGATGTCTATGGGCTCCAGTAACCACTTAACACCAGGTGGGCTGTGAGCTCGTCCACACATCTAAGCAATAAAAAAAAATAAAAAAAAATAGAATAATACTTTTCTGTAGTAATAAAACACAAATTCGACCTATGAATACTTTGATTGGTAATGTCGTAAACGCATTCACACATACGTGAAGTTAAATAACTTATCGTTTGTTTACATAGGTGACGATACAATGTTGAAATGGTTAGTTAAATTAATAAACAAACCGTTTCGTGTATTTATTTATATAAGGACGTAAGGACAAAAAAAAACCGACTGTATATGTTTATACGACATATACTACCTTTATTCTTTCCGGCAGGGCGAATATTTCAAAACGTTCACAACATATTATGAGATTTGGAACAATTCTCAATCTATTTCATAACTTTTCTTTTATATTTTATTCAATTATGATACAGTTGATGTGTTCAGTAGCTAACCCGCCTGATGTTAAGTGGTTACCAGAGCCCATAGATAACAAAACGTGATTTTGCCACACACTGGAACGCTTGAGTCTATCTTATCTTAATTATTTAGTAATTATGCAAATTATTTTTTCGCTCATCGAGGAAGTGATGTGTTATGTACATATTTCATTAGAAAATTGATAGGTACATCTGCCTACGCGGTTTGATTACCGCTTCAATCGTATGGCTGGTTAGGAACCTATAGGCGAAATATTATTTAAATAATAATATATAATAAATATTTTGATTTATTTAGGCCAACAGCTCCCACAGTTTCGCGACACATTAATACATCGCAAGCCACTGTCAAGTGTCGTGAGAATTACAAATACGATATTCATATCTAAGTCGTTCCGAGTGAATTTCATCTCTGTGATACATTTTTTTTTGTTTATGATTGAATGTTTACTGGTGACCCGGAGGCCTTTCCAGTTTCACCAGGACAGGTGCGCGAGCAAAGGCTCAGTTCAAGGTGGGATTTGCTAACAGCTGCCCGAGCGCCTCCGCAGGAGGCCTCACAACTCAAGAGCAGCTGCTTCGCGAATGAATCTACTACCGGATCGGAATCGCGACCCGCTGAGATGGGAAGATGCACGGGTTAGATTGCACGTCGACCTCTTTGTCGAGTTCGACGAGTACGGTTGCCGGGGACCCTAAGCCTGCCCCTTGAAGGCGTCTAATGCAAAGGTTATTGCATCTGATGGGTCCGTAAGGACGTGTCTAGGACGTCGACGGTGACTGACGCCTGCGTGATCAGGATTCGGGGAGATGATACATTTGGGGTAAATATACAACTAATGTTAATTTTACAACTAAGTTTCATACATTAATAATGTTTAATTTAATAAATGTACATACACCTACGTTCATTTCCGCTATCAAAAGCTTTGCATGTAAGTCTGAAGTCTGAAGTCGTCGTGGCCTAAAGATTAAGACGCCGGGTGCGTTCGTATCTGGCGATGCGTCCGAGCCGGTGTTCGAATCCCGCAGGCAGGTACTAATTTTTCTAATGAAAAACAAATTATCACGAAGGACTCCCACGGTGAAGGAACGCATAGTGTGATAAAAATCAGACCCGCTTAATGTAATTATAATTTGCTTACTTACTGGTGATAGGACCTCTTGTGTGTCCGCACGAGTAGTAGGTACCATCACCCTGCCTATTTCTGCCGTGAAACAATAATGCATTTCAGTTTCAAGGGTCGGGCAACCGCTGTACTGTAAAAACGTTGACTTATAATTCCTGTATCCAGGAGGGTGGCGGCATTTTTGTTGTTGATATCTACAGGCTCCGGGTAACCACTTAATCTTGGCAATAAAAAATAAATGTAAATATGTATCGCCAATTTGTCTTAGTGCGTCCCTAAGTGAAAAAAGTTGAAAGCTTCTGCTAGATCTACCATATCATCCTTTGCTCCGTTTTGTAAATCAGACTGGGTTCGGACACACCAATCGATCCTCAACCGTATTGTTTGGCATGTACCCTAAGCCCCCCATGTACTCCAACGTGTTTGCATCAGTTTTGAAGAGTTATCGGTTGGCGGCGTAGCGTATTCCGACCCGGTAAACTTGTTCTGATCCAGCGGGGTACTCTGAAACAGCAGCAATGTCTGGACAGTTTGGATCTCTGATCGTTGGGGTACCCCTCCCAACTCTCTCGATTCTGTCTCGGTCTGGCTCAGACGTTAAGTCGATGGTGCAGGGTCGTTGTTTAGCGGGTGACCTCTAACATCTCTCTCTACCCCGTGCCAGTGGTACAAAAAAAATAACGTTTTATATTTAAATGGAGCTTCTTCTTGAATGTGTCCGCTATTGACGGAGCTCATTAGGCTTATACATATCTTGTTCGCATATAAATTAGTAATATCTCTTGTCGTAAACAAAATGATTTCGTTCGTAAGTTTTAAATTTTACGTATTGCTCGGCTCCCATATTATTATGTGTGCATATAATGTTACTTCGTTTCGGACTACTCAAAGTGAAATACGATTGGTTTGTTGAATAGTAGAATTATCCAATTCCTATCCATCAGAGTCCCATCGCGAAGACAGTTTCAAATATTTTTATTAAAGCGCCATCTGTGAATATAATTTTGCACTACTTTACACATCGCAGAGAGCGCATGCAAGATGTTTTGTTTAAACGAAAACAGTTCACCGGTAAATATATCGATGGCGCTGAAATATAAATAACCTAAAATAATGTCACGGTCACAAAAATAACACAAGATCCTAATGAGTCGATCATTCAGACAAAGCCAACGATTTCTGAAAAGCCATTACGAGTAATGTTTAACTGTCACATCTCTTTGTCATGAATTCCATTTTCTTTTATTACGTAGATGTACCTATGTACAACAAGCTCAAGGAAAATTTTAGTACCTACCTAGCTGTGCCCATAGAAATGCCACAAATGCGTCTAGTGAAATGAGTTCGAAGTCACATTTAAATGATTTAACGGCCGTACCACCATATTTCAAATGACCGCCACTAGTAATGTTTTTCAGTGTCATTAAGATTAAGATAGCCTTTATTATCAATCTAATTTATGTAACATTTTTATTTATTTTATTAACTAGGTCACTAGCGCGATAGGTATATGTAGGTACATATTTAAAATTTTAAATAGGTAAGTATGTATACACTAGTTTTATTCTATTTATATAAGTACTTATCTAAGTCTCTTTATATATCTAGTTTTATCATTCGAAGCCGGTTTCTTGATCGTCTTGCTGTACAGAATAGGCCTTCAGTGACGTTACAGAAATACAATTAGCATACATTAAAAAAAAACACAATAAAAACAAGTAAGTTTTTTTATTTCTTTTTTTTTTTTATTGCCCTTGTAGGCAGACGAGCAGCATACGGCCCACCTGATGGTGAGTGGTTACCGTCGCCCATGGACTTCAGCAATGCCAGGGGCAGAGCCAAGCCGCTGCCTACCGTGAAGCCGCTGCCTACCGTGCTGTTCAGAATGAGTGATGCAGCATCAAAACAGTAAGTGCGACTAAATAACGAAGCAACTTTATGTTTATGCTAATAACTTAACAATAATTATCCAAATTACGCAATTTTTAAGTCGCAATGTCATAAAAACTACAAGGGAATATTAAATAGTTTTATTTCATACCACTTAAAGACATAGTAGCTATTACATTGTAAGAAAATAAATAGTACGCAATTAACAACAGAATATGTACTGACAGAATACCTATGTTGTACCCTGAAAAACTTAAACGGTACCAAACCGCTGTATTTAAATGTCTTTTTTTTTTTTTTTTTTTCTATTATACTGTTGGATTTTATAAGTTATATAGCGAAATCATTACTAATACGAAATCAGGGGAGTGCTCTGATGAATTGTTTGAGATGATACCATCATCTGGTTTTTATCATCGCACCGCCCGCCACCGGAGTAGAGTTCATCCATGCTACCTAAAGCCACTGCGTTCATCCACAGTGCGTTTCCAGAGATCTTTTTTGCCACGTACCATCCGGCTATGGAATGAGCTCCCCTCCACGGTGTTTCCCGAGCGCTATGACATATCCTTGAAACGAGGCTCGTGGAGAGTACTTAACGGTAGGCAGCGACTTGGCTCTGCCCCTGGCATGGCTGAAGTCCATGGGCGACGGTAACTACTCACCACCAGGTGGGCCGTCTGCCTACAAGGGCAATAAAAAAAAGCAACCCTGTCTGTTTAAATTTCCGCGTCCATACTACTGAATTGATTTTGATGAATTTAGATATGGACTTTGTACCTTAGGGAATAATGTAGACTACCTTTCATCACATTTCCGAGCCCAGACTTTCGCTCATGCGATATATACCTATGTGTGCTTAGTCCGAGTTTAAAAAAAAACCTCAATCGCGTAAAGGTTAACTTAAATCTGTATAGAGTTGGGACCACAGATCATAGCTGTGGTTGGGACTGCTTCGGAAAAGCTACGGAAAACTTTTTGCAATTTAAAACTCACTAATACCAATACTAATACTACTTACTTAGATATTATACATATTAATCTTTGAATCATTTTAAAATCCAAACATTGTTTTCAACAACAATCGACTGCAGTAATGAGGAAAGAATAATATATACATTACTCATTTTTTAAACAGCGTATATATATACATAATAAAAACATAAACAGCATTCATAAATCAGCTGTGCGCTGATGACGTATCACGAGGGTTCAATGCCAACGAGAAACGTTGCTTTTCAGAAGCAAAAATTCCGATAACACAAAACGAGATTATCCATCTTTAGCGTTATCATCAGCAACGTCGGTTGGTTACACTCTAGTACACCGCTTCGCGCACAAGAATCCTTTGTTTACAATTTCTTCATTCACTCATCACCTTTGTCTCACCGGACGGACACACTTAAATAAATAAAGGACATTGTTTTGAATACGCAACCCACACACACCGCCACGGCATCCATTGCTCTGTACTGTACGAAAGCAAAACAATCGAGCGCATTTAATTAATTGGCGCGAGTATGAATGCGTGTGCAATTAATTACCAAGCACGGACAAAGGGTGCGATAGTGCTGTGCTAAGTGTACTAGTCCAGTCAGTGCTGAGACGTGATCAAAGGCGCGCGCACACAGCCGCGCGACGCATTCGCCAACACTGCGTACGCGCTTAAAACGATATTAGTTAATATGATGCTCGCCGGAGCGCAAATCGTTGAAGACAGTGTGTCGTACAGGCCAGAAAATGCATCGGTTTCGATAGGGGCCAACCCCGAGCCGCAGCTGACGACGCAAGGGTTCTCCAAGATGCCCACAAGGGATCCCGTGGACATACAGTTCACTAACATCACATGCACTGTACATCTGGGATTTAACAAAGGTAAATCGTGCATACAATTTCCATTACAGTGTCTTACATTCACTTATATTTGTAAATCTTTGTCTACTTTAAAACTGTGCTTTAAATTGTGAAATATTCAATCCTTAATCGAATGAATTGGATACGATATCAGAAATATAAAAATTTATCGTTAATTAATCTTATCGACATTATAATCTGACTTTGTTACCCGACTGCATCAGGTTAAGCTGTAATGTAATATTTAATGATTTTTCGTTATTGGATGTCTAATTCTTTATGGACTTGACGGATTTTACTATAAACAGGCTGTAAAGTCATCATTCCCTGTGCCGTAACAAAGATATAATAATAATACAAGAACAGTTTTCAGAACTAGTATTCCTTGTACTATGTGAACATAAATAGGTTTTAATATATGCATAATAAACACCCAGGCAAAGAGCAAACAAACATGTGTGCTTAGTGCGAGTTTCTTAACGTTCTCGATAGCGTAAAAGTTAAGTCAAATTTGTATGGAGTTGGTACATGTGCCTACGTTTCCCGCTAGGGGCGCTGTTCCAACTGCATACAAATTCGAGTTAACTTTTACGATATCGAGAACGTTAAAAACTAGCACTAAGCACACTGTTCATCACATAAATGTTTGCTCGATGAAGGATTCGAACCCACGGATCTCTGCCTAGGAATCAGGAGCGCTAACGACCGCACCGCTGAGTCAGTCATATTTGGTTATAATAACATACGGAAAACGATACTTATTTATTTAACTTAATATAAATTTTTGTGGTTATACCCACTGCGATTTTATTTAATGAACGTACTTAATATATTTAGTGCGAAGTGGAACTAGCTAGTTAGAGGTCCACCACACACAATCTACATTATAGAATATTCTGTTTTTGTTAAATAGCTGGGTAATAAATGGCTGCGTTCTAGTTTCTAAGCTAATTCTTGTAGTACTGTATTACACACTTTGCTATATCAAGTGTATTGTGATAGAAGGAAATGAAATTGGCCTATCTAAAATTGATTGTGGGATCACTAGGAGCCGGCTTAGGGACTCCGGTAACCGTACTTGTCAAACTCGACAAAGAGTTCGACGTGCAGCCTGAGTTTCTCGCCGGAAATTCTCAGCGGGACGCGATTCCGATCCGGTAGTAGATTCATTCGCGAAGCAGTTGCTCTTTTGAGTTGTTAGGTCTCCTTCGGAGGCGCTCGGGCAGCTGTTAGCCAATCCCACCCCTCCTGGCTGAGCCTTTGCTCGCCCACCTGTCCTGGTGAAACTGGAAAGCCCCCGGGCCACCAGTAAGCCTTCAATCCTTAAAAAAATGATTATAGGATGAAATTGAATTAGATGGAACCTGAGTTTAGATGAAATTAATTAATGTCCCAGTGAAATCTACATATTAATACGTGAAGCAAAAACTTTGTATCCCTTTTTACGAAAATTGCGCGGACGGAGGAGTATGAAATTTTCTACACTTATAAAGAATAAAGAGAAGAAGTGCACAATGCTAATATCTTTTTTTTAAATAATGCGTAACAGATACATTAAATCAATAAAGAAAACATTACACACACTACATACCATGTATTTGACGCACACACGTATACTATTTATTGTCAAACTTTTGTTCTTGACGTCTGTTGTCAAATTGAGAATAGATTAAATATTGTTTGTCTTTGTCTACGAATAAATAATAAATATTTTTTATAGTGTGGTCTTGGCGAAATTAGTGATTATAGAAGTATAAAATACAATCATAATAGTGTACAAACTTACAATTCCAATTAATTATAGCCGAATTTCGACTACTGCGGGACCTCTAGTTTGGTGGAAATTTACATAAACTTTTCGGAGGGACTAGAAAAGTCACGTCCAGAAATTTTATTAGATTTTTCGACACTTATGCTCTTTGGCTATCGATTCGTATTCGCTTTTCTCAGTCAGACGCTATTTAAATATAGGTTCTTTTCTCTCTCATTTATATAATTAGAGACACCTATTAAACAGCCCCACTTTTTTAGAATTATATATTACAGTATGGGATATACATCCCATTCTCACGGATCGTTTGGAACCTCTGGGTCTGCGGAGGGACTTCGGTTCCCTCTGTATTTTGTACCGTATGTTCCATGGGGAGTGCTCTGAGGAATTGTTCGAGATGATACCGGCATCTCGTTTTTACCATAGCACCGCCCGCCACCGGAGTAGAGTTCATCCATACTACCTGGAGCCACTGCGGTCATCCACAGTGCGTTTCCAGAGATCTTTTTTGCCACGTACCTTCCGGCTATGGAATGAGCAACCCTCCACGGTGTTTCCCGAGCGCTATGACATGTTCTTCTTCAAGCGAGGCTTGTGGAGAGTATTAAGCGGTAGGCAGCGGCTTGGCTCTGCCCCTGGCATTGCTGAAGTTCATAGACGACGGTAACCACTCACCATCAGGTGCGGCGTATGCTCGTCTGCCTACAAGGGCAATAAAAAATATATATATTAGAAAAAAAAAGCATAAGTATGAATAGAATAATTTTTCACTGAGAGCTATTATATTATTACATACGGTAGTAACCTCAACTCTACCTTCGTTTGAAAGTCAATATTGGAGCATTGCTAAAATGTAACAGCGTAACATATGAAATATTTTCAAGCTGTTAAAATAATTTACTTCACAGTTTCCTTAGATAGAAGGCTTAGATTACCTTATTGGAAGTGGTTATTCTTGGTCTTAGACATCAACAATGCCAACGACAGCCAAGCCGATGCCAACCGCTTATAAGTCATTTAAGTTCGTTTGAAGTAGGTCATTTTTTTTTATTACTTAGAAGGGTGTACGAGCTCACAGCCCACCTGGCGTTAAGTGGTTACTGGAGCCCATAGACATCCACAACATAAATGCGCCACCCACCTTGAGATATATAGACGGCTGCCTCACCCTTCAAATCGAAACGCATTACTGCTTCACGGCAGAAATAGGTAGAGTGGTGGTACCCACCCGCGCGGACTCACAAGAGGTCCTACCACCAGTAATTACGCAAATAGGATGCCCCTTTCCTTTTTACTACCAGCGTTCAGGAATTGCAGTGAACGGGAGTGAATTCTAGATCTGGACTGTACAGGGATTATCCCGGATTATCTTTAGAAAGGCATTGTTGTCCCCCCCAGCAACACCAGACAACAACGAACTGTGCTCGCGTGGCGTCTGGTGCGTGTACTAATAAATAGATGATAATTTTTTTAAATATCCAACACGGCTAGAAGATGTCACGACATAGCCGGGATTATAGATAAGACTTGAAAAAATATTCAAATACACTTTACATGCATCTAAAAAATGAAATGGAGGTTTTTATTTCGATTAACGTTAGCGAGATATTTAATAGTAAATTCTTTGTTAAACACTAAATATGACAAAGTAAAAATTGTTGGGTATCTTAATGCTTTATGACTACTGTTCTAGATAACGTTGAACGAAGTGAATTTGGTGCAAACGATGATAGAACATCATCCTAAAATTTACTGTAGCAATCAATTATAAATAAGAGTTTAAAAAAATAACAAAATACGCTTTTATAGACAAGCCAACTAAAAAATAGAAAATAAATTTTAATAAATTTGAATTAAAAATAGTGTAAGAAAAAATTATTTTTAAATATTTTTTAAATATTGAATTGTCATCAGTCTTCAATAATTATACCAAATTTCGACTTAATCCGACGTTTTGAAGGGGACTTGAACTAACATACATACGTCTGAAGCTAATAAAAGCGTATTAAAAATGGTATCTATTGGACATATTATGAGTTCACATTGTCCATGTTGTATTTTGTTAAAGTGAAGTAACAACATGGAAGCTGTGATCCGTTTGGTTCAGTATAATGTGTTCACGGATGGTTTTTCCGATCACAATAAATCCAAGAATTCAATGTAAGCACGTGCACAATAAAAGGTTTCTCTGATCACCATTGATATTGCTCATGCAGTGTGAACGATTAACACGTTGACTGCTGGACTATTGAGGAATTTTTAGCCAGTGCATGTGAGGTCGTTCCGAGTCAGGATTGGACTTGTTTATTATATGAGACCTGATAGGCCTCAAAAAATGCTATTTCTGCCGTGAAGCAGAAATGCGTTTCGGCTTTAAAGGGCGGGGCAGCCGTTGTAACTATACTTGAGACCTTAGAACTTATATCTCAAGGTGGGTGGCGCATTTACGTTGTGGATGTCTATGGGCTCCAGTAACCACTTAACACCAGGTGGGTTGTGAGCTCGTCCACACATCGAAGCAATAAAACAAAACTGTTTCAAATATATTCATACCTATAGAAATGTGTAGTTGAAAAGTTTTGACTGCAGCATCAGCGAATAGTGGCGTGTGGGGCTTTTAAAGTCACATAACGCAGTTAACATGTTAAATCCAGAGATTGTCCATTGCCATACAGCATGGCAGTACTGCTAGCGTAATGGGTACTTTCGGGCCGGGTGCGATCCAGAGTGGCTTGTTTGAGTAGCCGATGCCTATGCGCGCATTGCTGTTAGCGTCAAAGGCGGATCCGGGGGGGGGGGGCATGGGGGTCATGACCCCCCCCCCCCTGAGCTGCTTCCAAGACTTAGGTGAACCACTAATTGAACATAATGATTTTATTTATATATTTTGTCACTATACAGATTTTATGTAACTACATACCTTCAATATTTAATTAATTTAATATAGTATAATAACTTTGTATGATGGCGGAATGAACGCATCGAAAATTTTACTATGTGACCCCCCTCCTGGCGCCAAAGCTGGATCCGCCCTTGGTTAGCGTGGACCTATTGGTTACTTATGACGACGCTTGCAGCTGAAAGTAAGTATTGTACTTTTTGACGAAGCATGTTGTTGATAACTCTGTTTCTATAATCTGACGAAGCGTGTTGCGGATAATAATATGTTTAAAAAAAGTGTTATTTCATTATTGCGAACGATTTGAATTAAACAAGTTTTTATGACTCACGATATACATCGATATTTCAG